AGGAAGCATCGTCCAATCCACCAAAAATGATGTGGATGGTCGGCTTTCCTGCTGGTCGGCTGCTAGATGGAGGGTCAGGGTCCCGTCGGTCATCACGACGATCATCCCTTCGATCGTCTCTTCGGTCCTGACCTGAACGATCGGAGCGTCCATCACGATCGGAACGATCGGAGCGATGATGGGAACGCCGGTGATCTCTCCGATCGGTATTCCTCTTAGTATCTTCTCTTTTCCCCACACACTTGTCCAACTTCCCAAGATTGAGCAAATCCTCCAACAGTTGGCGCAAGTGGGTACACTCCTCAGTGTCATGCCCGGCACATCGGTGGTAAGCGCAATGCTTACTCTTGTCGGGGCCGTCTCGATCGGGATGGGGGAGTTTGATGAGATTACAGGACTGAGCGTACTGCATGGCCTCCGCTGCGGATCGGTTCAGGGCCGTAAACTCACTAGGCCTGGTGCGGGATCGGGGATGGTCCTCACCCGATCGGTGTTCCGCCCGGCCGGCCGGTTTACGGGACGAAGACCCGACCTCCTGCAAGCGCTTTACGGCATTCGCCTCGCCGGCGTTGGCATAATCCGTGACCCTTCGAAGGGCCTCCTCATATGTGGCTAGGGGGTGGAGAATGAAGTCTTGATACAAATAACCCGCCCGGAGGGAGATGTGTAGCATGTGGGTGGCGGTCGCATCATCCATGGGCTCGATTTCCCCGACCGCCGCCTTCCACTTGACAAGGAAATCGGTCAAGCTCTCCCCTTCAAGCTGCTTGGCCTTCTCCAAGTACATGTAGGGCTTTCTCACCACCTTGGAGGTGATGAATTTCCTCACGAACTTGATTGCCAAGGCGTCAAAATTTGCAATCGAGCCCGGTTGCAAAGTCCGGAACCACTCCGCCGCCCGACCGGTGAGCGTGGAATAAAAAGCTCTACACATCACGACGTCTGATATGCCCTTCAGCATCATGTGGCCGTAGAAATCATTAACATGGACCTCAGGGTCCGTACGGCCATCGTAACTTTTCTCCCCAGAGACCTTCAAATCAAGCGGGTAGGGCTGAGCCATTACCTCGGCCGTGAAAGGCGTCCTAAGCAAGGTCGATTGGTCGACCGGGGGTGTTGCAGGGTGCGCGTTCCTGAATTGCGCAAACTCCGCCTGGAGGTTGTAGAGCAATCCTCGGGTCTCGTTGAGCTCGGCGGCTTGGGCTGCGTCCCGAGCGCGTCGTCGTCGATGAGATCTCGACCCGCTATGCCCGGATGAAGCCTCCTGGCTGGCTTCCTGCATCTGTACGTCTTCCGGCTGCCGGTTTGGGTCTTGGGGCCGCAAACGTTGTCGCATCGCCGGTCGAAGACGATCAAAAGCTACCGCTCGGGCAACTTCTTTGGGGTCCTCCGCTGCTTGCTGGGCCTGCCGTGGTGCCTCCATCACATCAGCACCCCCCGACCCCAACCGCGAACGAGCTGAGCGACGAGCCCGGGAAGCGGGCTGAGGCTGCGGCTCTACTTGTGCGGCCGGGTAAACTGGAGGGGCGGCGGCTGGAGCCGTGTACGCAGGCGTGTAAGGTGGATAGCCAACCGGGGGCGTGTAATACATCGGTTGGCCTGGCCAATATCCGTACGGCTGAGGTGGGACCTGGTATGGATACTGGCCGGGATACATCATCGGCTGCTGTGGATATTGCTGACCGGGTGTTGGGTACCCCGGTTGAATGTAGTTCACCGGCTGTTGGGCGACCGGGTATGTGTTGGAAGGATGTGGTGGTGAGAGATTGAGGTTGAGGTCCATCGTCTGACCTTGTTGTTGTGTGGCCTGGTGGTCGGATGAGCTTGCGGCATCCGCCTGATCGTCGGCAAAGAGGTTTTATGCCCACGGATACATGGTGAATGAGTGATCGGGTGCTCGTCAAGACAATAGCTTTCTTGTACGGTTCCCCACGGACGGCGCCAAAATGATACTACTAATTGCCACGTACGCAGTAATTAAATAAACAGGAGACCAATCAAAGCAAGTAAATATCTTTATTGATTACGGTGAAGGCCCTAAGTACAATCTACTTGGTTGCTCTGAGTACCGACTGACTGGGGTCGGGATTCTCTAACAACAACCTATCGATCGTCCAAAAGTCCCTCACATTGTAGCTGTCGCGGGTATTTATAGCCGCGGCGCCGGAGACACAAATCCGGCCGTTCGGCATGCTTCCCACGTAGCCACCACGTGTCACCGTCCCGGGTGCCCTGCCTGTCAACGCGTGGAACCGCCACGTGTCCCTCGTCAGCTCTCTCGACAAAGGGCTACCGCTCGGTGGTCGACACTTCCGCTCGGGCAACTCCCGGTCGGACCCCGACCGGGTTCTTCACAAGAAGCCCGACCTGTTACCTGCAAAGACAAGAAGACAAAAACAAAGGCATACCAACCGGGGTAAAATTATGTCGGTCGGTATATTCCCTACCACAACCAAACACTAGAAAGAAAAATATTTTATATAAAATGAATTATTTTCCATTAGTCATTTTTATGGTTTCCAAACACACCCTAAATGATGTCACATTTATAATTAAAGAGTTGAGTTGGTTATTCTAGTATAATTAATGGACTAAAATGACTATTTTTCTTCTTCTAGTATAATTAAAATGTGAGATGTGAAAGTGGGGTAGCAGTCTCTGTTATAATGCAGTATCTGTTCATAATTACTTTCTCAACCTACTGAAACACAAAGAGTCAATAAAAAGATTTTTGCTTAAGTAAGATTCTTAATACTTCACAACCTATTTAGAGAGCTCCAATGACTTGAACTTAAACAAGAATTCATACACAAAAAGATTTTATTTTAATATAAATCATCACATTTTGTTCGCAACTTTGTATATAGACTTAATACAATATTAGTAGATAATTAATTACTTCATTTGTTTACTTACTTTTTAATTTTTGTTACTTTGACTATCAAATTCAAATTCTTGATAACATATTTTTTCGTTATTCTTTTTTTTTTTCTTTACTTTCAAACATTTGACTTAAAAATAGAGAAGGAAATAAAAAACATCTTAGAAAAAAATAAACACTATTATTGATCCCAAACTTCAAGAGACATTATTATATAAAGTTGTTATGTATATATAGTACAGATAATCCTTTTTGTTTCAACAAGGTTGGATCCCAAATTTCAAGAGACCCTAACGCGACCGGATAGAGCATATGAAAGGATGTAAATCATAATAATTCAGTTGTGCACAAGAATTCAATTTCACTTTGAGGAATTTATCATACACTGTCGTGGTCAGGGCCGTCCCTGGCCATGTCTGGCCAGGGCCAGCGCACAGGGCCCCCAAATTTTGGGGGCCCCAAATATTACATACGTAGTATATATGTGCATTGTGCCTCCAAATTTTTGGGGCACTTTTATTTAAAAAAAAATATTATTTTATATTTATATTTTATATATTAGTGTAGGTGTAATTTATGTATAAAGAAATTAAGACGGTCTAAAATTCTAAAAAGTTTATATTCTTAATTCTTAATGACTTGATTTATGTATAGAGTTATAGTCCTATAACTTATAGGAATTGAGACGAGCCTATTTGATTATTGTAAAAATTATTATATATTATATATAAAGAGTAAAAAATTTACTCTTATTCCTATTATAATGTATACACGCAAGATTTGTATTCACAACGCAAGAATTTGGTCTCAGTAATCATTAATTTTAAGTGCGTTGTTTGTGCATTTGGCATCCTCAATTTTTTTTATTCTTCACGATAAAAGGATGAAGGTATGTAAATAATTAAATATTTTAATTCTTTAATTTTATTCAAAATTTTAAAATTATTAATTCAATAACTAACTCTAGCTAGGAATTTTTTTGATTGGTGAATAACAATCTAATTTCTTGTATTTTGGTACTACAATTGCAATATCAATTAGTCTTGACTATTTTCATTACTGTTGTTTATGCATAATAAAGAAGTTTTTTAAAGTTAAAGTTGTTGAAATCTTACTTATGATCAACTATATTGTAAAAAAGACTCAAGGTGAATAATTTTACATCTAAATATGGCCGAAGAAGAAGAAAAATGTCACTTTTCAAGTGAAATTTTGAATAATAAATTTTGTATAGACTATTATATATTTTGGTACAATACAATATATCTTTTATATATTTACAATTATATAAAAAGGGGGCCAATGTTAATTTTCGTACGGGACCCCAATTTTCTTAAGAACGGCCCTGGTCGTGGTGAAACTTAATTTACAATTATTGTTTTTAAATTTTACCATTGTAACCAGCTGAGCTGATTATGCGGACAACATAATCCTAATCCAAACACCAAATGAAGATGGGAGAGGATGGCCTTCCAGATGTTTGAGACACGGTTACAAAAAAAAAGAGTTAATTCCAGCAATGGTTCTCCGAATATATTGATTTTTCAAAATTAGTCCTTGACTTTTAATTTGGACACTTTAAGTCCCTTGACTTTCAATTTCTTTCCAATTGAAGTCCTTTCGTCAGAATACGGTTAATTAAATTTTGAATGAATGGGTAAACTCATCATTTCACCTGCCTATGTATTATTCTTAGTATTTCTCCATTGTATACGCGATATATATGAAGATAATCTTAGTCGAAACCCTAAAATGTTCCTCGTCGTTCCCCATTTGCTGACTACTCGTGTGTGCGTTCCTCTATTATTGAGATGTTTACAAGGTATAACAGCGAAAAAACGAAGGGAGAAATACGAAGAATAATGCATAGGCAGGTGAAAGGACGAGTTTACCCATTCATTTAAAGTCTAATGAGTCGTATTCTAACGAAAGGACCTCAATTGGAAAGAAATTGAAAGTCAAGGGACCTAAAGTGTCCAAATTAAAAGTCGAGGACTAATTTTGGAAAACCACTATAGTCGGAGGACCATTGCTGGAATTAACTCCAAAAAAAAATGTAGATAACTAATGAGTAATTACCGTTTTTGTTAATTTTATTTTTTAATTTTATTTTTACTCGGTATAAATGCGAAATGAAACCGAAAATCCAAAAATCTCCATATCCAACTATCCCGCGCCTCTCTCCTCTGTGTCCGTACTTCCATCCTCCCGTTCATTCCCTAGCAGTTAACTGCTCAACCGGCGCAACTCACTGGGTAATTATCTTCTTCTTCTTCGTTCTCCTTACTTTCTCCTATTTTTCTTCTGTCATTTATCGTTGTTAGGGTTGAAGGCTAGTTCATTTCCTCTTCTGGCAACTCAGATCCAAAATTTTCCCAGTATTTTTCATTCTACGATTTCTCCGCATCAAATGAGGGCCAATTTTCGAATTTATTAACTCTTTCGTGGTTTGTAATGTTCTCGAGTTCAATTCTTCATCTTCGTTTAAGATTTTGTTTTCTTCGTTTTTGAAGTAGTGTTGAAGTTTTAGTTCTTAAAATATGTTAAGACTTATAATCAGCATTAGTATTAGAAGTCTGTAACGCATGCACCGTGATGCTCACTTTTGATTATTGGGCGCGATTGTTGAAATTGAAGTTCGGTTGAATCATAAGTGTTCATTTGTTCATGACGGCCGGAATTATGAGATCCCCCTTTCCTTCTTTATCTTCTACATTTTTTAAAAAATTTTGAATTTAGATTATTTATGTGCATTTAATTTTTTTTTTTTTTTTTTTTGGTGTAATAAAATATTTGCTTCAGATTTCTTTATGGTGTTTAGGTACATCAAAAGAGGGCTGAAATTCACTGTGAAACCACTGTAGCAGGATAAATGATGACTTGATTGAATAAATTTTCAGGTAATTCCAGGAAATGTGTTGTAAGTTCATAGTTATAGTGTTCTGTAATGGTTATCTTTCAGATAGGATCATTCAAAATTTTGTTGACCAGGTGAAAATTAGAAAGTAATGAGGAAATTATAATTATAATTCTCTTGAAATAATTGAACTTTCATAGTAAAGTGGTCTGGTGTTCACGTTGAACTGCAATGTTGAGTTTCAATGAATAATGTGGTAACTTAGGGCACCATTTATAGTCAACTATATGAGGCTATATGCTTATATAGAAAATTGGGTCAAAATGACTGATCTTATGTATGCTTAGTTGCTTATGTAGTTTTGTATTTCAATAAACTAGAATAAGACATTGGATTTTTTAATGAATCACATGCTTCAGTAATCCTGATGCTTTATTATTATTTTTTTGAAAATAAAGTTTGCTTTTGCTTATCCAACATTTAGACCTTGATTTTTAAAGATTGGTACTTAATGCTCTTGTCTGCAAATATTGAACATCTAACAGTGTTATAATATTTTAAAGAGACCATTTGAATTGCTTGAAGCTGCATTATGTGTCTATTTACTCCTCCTTTATGGACTGACGTTTATTACTATTGTAGGCAATACGTACTTATCATTGTAATTGATCAACAGCTAACTAGCTAAGGGCATGCCTGCCATGAAGGAGGTCTATCTGGAGACTTATTCTATTTTATTTCTTTTCTTCAACATATTTCCTGTACTATTTCACCTATTTGCTATCTAAATGCATGTTTGTATGATATTGGCTGAAAAAGTTATTCCCATACCATGATGAGAAGCCATTCTATCATCCTTATTATATTATATGCAGGCTTTCATTTTCCTCCTATTTGCCCATGATGTCTCATATAAAACTGCACTTTAAAATGTTACAAAATATATTTCTCTCTCTAGACATAGATTCTTGTTCACAGGACTAGTTCTTTTAATAGATCTATTTTTTCCTGTTACCATTTACTTTAATCTGAGAGTTGTCATATGTGGCAGTCTGCAGTTATGTCATATTGTCATTGACATTTTCTGTTCTTGAAGTTGATAAACCAATAACAAAAATTTGTATTTTAGGACCTGAATTTTGACGTGATATAGAATATTTAGAAAAAAACTGGGCACATATCTAGCACACATGGTTACTTCACAGGGATTCTCAAAAGTACATGGGCATCTTATAGGAAATCTTCATGTTGGAGATCTATATCTGATTCCTACACCTAAGTCACTTCTATTTTATTTTTAGCTTGGATTAGCCTTTTGTTTATACCTTCAATACTTTTTTAGTTATTCTTCCTTAAACTACACTATGGCAAGTTTCCATGTTCATTTATTTTTCAATGCTGTTAATCTGGTCATGTTTGGCCATATACATGTGTTCCCACTTCCCAATGAATGTCTCACTTACATCTTATGGCTTCTTTTTGCCATTTCTTACCAGGGTGCTGTTACTAGTGGTATTGGAAACATATTCAGCAAATTGATAACAGAAATTGGAGATCCTGTTGACTTTGAACTTCCTGACTGGCTAAATAAGTGGCAGCCCGTGCCATACACCTTTATAAAACGCAGTATCCTTGTTAAATTATAGCGTTAATATACCAAATTGCCAATTACTCTCAACTAGTTGATTTGCTTTGTTTTAGATGGCTTGTAATATTACATTATGTACAGTATTTTCTATTCAAGTAATCTTTATTTCTAAGTGTTTGGTTTTTATCTTTGAACTTGAAAATTTTTCCTCTTTCTATGGCTAGCTCTGCTCCATCCTTTGTGTACTGTTTGTATGTTAACTAATTAAGATATATATCTCACTAAGAGGATTAAGAGGCGTTTGGAAGATGATGGCATATTTTGTTCCTGCAACTCAGAGGCTGGATCTTCTAATGTGTGCGGTAGGGATTGCCTCTGCAGGTGAGACTCAATAGATTAAATTTCAGTTGTAAGTCTGGTGTATGAAAGTAATATATGACATCTGAACCTAGGTTTCACGTAACTCCATGGTTTTTATCCTTAGGAACACTCTAAAATCAAACCATACTTTAATTTACTCTTAGTTTGATTTGATGATTCTTTCATCTCCCCCTTTCCCATTAATATTGAATCTAGTCTGATGAGATATTTTTCTTTTAAGTTTGAGTTGAGGAGGATGTGTGCTTTGCTATTTGAAATATATATTAATATTAATTTTCTTCTTCCATTTATGATTAGTTATTTGTTTATTATATTCTACCAGCATGCTAATGTCTAGCTGCTCATCGGGATGTAAATGTGGAGGTTCATGCCTCAATAAACCTTTCCATCAACGTCCTGCCAAGAAGATGAAAATAGTGAAGGTATACGTACTTTTGGGATTGAAGTCCTGTTATCAGAAGCAACTTTTATTAATGGCATGTTAGATCCATATCCTTTAAATCCTGTTTTTTGTTCAGTTTATTTTACCTGGACATTTACAAGGATCTAACCCTTGTAGAACAGTCAAATGTTAAATCCTTAGAGTTTGCAGAGCAAGTAATAATTCCATGCATTCATCATACTCAATTCTTGAACAGATGCTGTTTTAGGAATGGAAGGATTTAAAAGGAGATACTTACGTTCTGAGTCTCTGACATTATTATTTCTTATATCTATAAATCCAAAAGGATTGGTCGGAGAAATTGGTTTACTGGGCATACATGATAATATGTTTTCATCCAGCAGCCAGATTATTTCTGCCATTTATATCACAGTATTTTTTAAGTCTATCATAGTTAATGAGTTAATACCCAAAATGGTCCCTCGACTATGTCATAATTACCAATTTGATCCTCAACTACCATTCTTACCCAATTAAGTCCTCAACTATGTAACTTTTACTCAATTAAGTCCTCAACTATACAATTCTTACCCAATTTAGTCCTCAACTATACAATTCTTACCCAATTTAGTCCTCTGTATTAATTTGACTGTTTGTTGACTGTCAAAAGTCGGGATAAAATTATAATTTTACAAGATTTCTCCTTCCTCTCCATTTAGCAGCGCCAAACCGTGCAGCAATACACTCCGATCAGATTTCGATCGTCAAAAAATCGTTGGAAATCAAATTCATGGGCTATTCGATGCATAACCACTACTTCAATACTGACAGGTTTAGAACCCAACCGGAGCTTATTGCTACATGGTTTGGCGCTGCTAAATGAGGAGGAAGGAGAAAACTTGTAAAATTACAATTTTATTTCCACTTTTGACCGTCAACAAACAGTCAAATTGACAAAGGACTAAATTGGGTAAAAATTGTATAGTTGAGGACTTAATTGGGTAAGAATGATAGTCGAGGACCAAATTGGTAATTACGACATAGTCGAGGGACTATTTTAGGTATTAACTCTTTAATTTATTTCTTATTTTTAATATATTTAAATATCTGCAAAACATTAGCCTTTTTTCCCTCTTTACTCAGTTTACTCTCTAACTGTGCCAATGCAACTTGCAGACTGATAAATGTGGATCAGGAATTGTTGCAGATGAAGATATTAAGCAAGGAGAGTTTGTTATAGAATATGTTGGGGAAGGTGAGAGATTCAGTTTTTATATATTGTTGTCAGCATAATTAATATTCTGCACAAAGTATTTTTCACTAACCTAGTGAAAATTTGTTGCAGTTATTGATGATAAGACATGTGAAGAGAGACTTTGGAAAATGAAACACCTTGGGGAAACTAATTTTTACTTGTGTGAAATTAATCGGGATACGGTTATTGATGCAACTTATAAGGGAAACAAATCAAGATACATTAATCACAGTTGCTGTCCAAATACCGAGATGCAGAAGTGGTATGCTTCTTTTCTGTATATATGATATATCTTCATGACTGGTATATTTGGAACTTTTATTTTTATTTTTTCAATTTCTTACATGGCATTGTCTTTTAGGATGATTGATGGTGAAACAAGAATAGGCATATTTGCAACGTGTGACATAAAAAAGGGAGAGCATCTGACCTATGATTATCAGTAGGGGTGATTTTATTATTATTATTATTATTATTATTATTATTATTATTATTATTATTATTATTATTATTATTATTATTTTAATTATTATGTTTTCATTTTTTTTTTCCTGTAAACATCACAAGTCAGTACCCTTATATTTTCAAAGCATGTCCTTGTATGTTTGTCTAAAAAGTGTAGCAGGTTTGTACAGTTTGGTGCAGATCAGGATTGCCACTGTGGAGCTGTAGGATGTAGACAAAAACTTGGTGTCAAACCAACCAAGCCGAAGATTTCCTCTTCAGATGCTGCATTGCATTTAGTGGCCTGTCAGGTGGCAGCTACTTCTCCCAAAGTGAGAACACTTTTGTCTGCAAGACAGGTAGCCGTTATAGTTTTTTTTTTTTTTGTTTTTTTTTCAATGAAAGAATTGAGAATATGAATCCCGAGGTCATTCCTACACTGTTAAATCATTCAATTTGGAAGTTCCTAGCCAAATTTACAGTAGATTTGCTGAATGTTTGACCTGGTAATTCAATGTTTGACAAAGACAATCATCTTCCTTTATTTCTCTCTCCATTTATTATTATTATTTTTTGGATAGACACTCTAGTAGCAACAACAAAATATTTTATTTTCTCCTATACTGGTTCCTTTGCTCTATCTTTTCTCACATTCAGTAATTTTTCTTTTTCAATGTAGGATGTTTTGATGGTTTTACTGATAGTTGCACTAATTAATTTCCCACTCGGCTAACCTTTAGATTTGCTACAAGATTTAGCCAGTTGATCCTAATTCGCATTCTGAAAAAATTTATTTGATCCTTTAAAGAAAATTAATATTTCTGTGCAAATGTAACCTTTTGGGGTGAATTTGGGCTAATTGTTATCTCCTTTTCTATTTTATATTTTGAACATGAAGGCATATCCAAATGGCGCTCGTGTTGCAGGTAAACTGCTTTTTCTTATCTATTTTTTGTTTCTCAATTCACTTTTCACAATGTAATATTTCATTGAACCTTGGAGAGTGAGCATGTGGCATAGTTTGTATTCTTTCCTTGTTCAGGAAGTTCATGTAATGATTCTGCTCAAAGAGTAAGGTCTACGCGTAATTGCATCGGTCAAATTATTAGAATAAGTCGCTCTTCTGATATGAGGTATGTCTAACTCTCTACTCTTCTTATTTTTAATATGCAAGGACTAACAGTGAAAGTGCCACTATAGTCGAAGGATCAAAAGTGGTATTTACTGTTAAGACTTTTAACATTTGAAGGAATCTGTATGGTAGATGCTTACTAATCCTCCAGATATGGGTACACAATTGGGTACATTCCAATTACACTTTCCCAGTGAACATAATCTAGATCCCAGGGAGGGCAAGAAATTGCAGTTTGGTTTAGTGTACTCTTCTTAGGTTTGCATTGCAATTTAGAAAAGTATAATGGAGTATTATGTGGGATCTGTATACCCTCATAGTGGAATGGCATTGTATAGACACATGATGTTTAATGCACTTCCAATGGGCTTTATTTCCAGGTCTTACGGAATTATAAAACAGTTTGATAGTACCACAAGAAAACATTCGGTAAGATTTCATTAGATCATGTATAACTGAAACTAGATTTGATTAGACTCCAACTCAATGTGTTTTTTCTTTGACAGATCATGTTTGAAGATGGCAAGACGGAGTATCTTGACTTGTCAAGAGAAGATTGGCAATTATGCAACTTCTCTGTGTAATTAGGTAACTCTAATTTTGTCTTATCTTGTAACCATTAAAACTTGGTGCTCATGTTTCCTGTCTGCTGGAATATATCTGGAAAATCCTGTTTATGACAGTGATTTCTGTTAAACAAGCTGAGTTGCCAAGTATCTCTATGATGTCAAAATGTTGCCTCCTTTTTTCTATCAAAGTAAAAAATACTGAAATTTCATTGAGCAATGATGGATGCATTGGATTCTAAAAAAAATTAAAAAAAAAATAATGTTTTCTTTTTTAGGAAATAGAAATTTTTATTAATCCAATTAACAAAGGTCATCCCCCACCATCCTCCCCCCAAGCCCAAGTAAATGCCCCTTTTATCTGAATTATCTGAAGCAAATCCTTGAAAAAAAAAGGGACCAAACTGCAGATTTTTTTTTTGGTTATCTCCCTTCTATGAACATAAATCTGACCATGTTGAAATTCCAATAGAGTTACATAGTAGAAGTCATTCTAGAATTCTGCAGTGTTGACTGTCTCATTGGTATTCTCTCTGTATGAAGTCAGCGATTGAACATAGATGCTTCCTGTAATACATATTGCTATTCACTCTACGTTAAACAACTGGTCCAAATAGGTTATTTCATCCATTTCAGATTCCCAGTACCAAATTTTTGGGTTTTCTAGCAAATCTTCCTTTTTTGTTATGTAAGTGGAGCTCCATTTGTCAGTTTGGTCATTTAATGTGCTAAATTACATGTGCCAGGAATGTAAATTATAATGTGAAACCTGGAATACCTCACAAGGGATGCCCCAGATTTTTGGGTTTTCTAGCAAATCTTCCTTTTTTGTTTTGTAAGTGGAGCTCCATTGGTCAGTTTGGTCATTTAATGTGCTAAATTACATGTGCCAGGAATGTAAATTATAATGTGAAACCTGGCATACCTCACAAGGGATGCCCCAGAATGATGTACAATGTAATTGTAAGTCATTTTCATTGAAATAGGGAATATGATGTTAAATCACATTAACAATTCACTCGAAACGACCATACTGTAATCAAGACCATTTACAATTTCAATGAACATTTGCTTCTAGCCATACCATACAACGTAAGCTGGGTGCATGATATTATATGCCATATTCTGAGTTCCAGGATAGAAGCTGTCTGCTTTATTGCCACTTTTCAATCTCAATATTAACTTCTTTTTTTTTTTTCTTTTTATGGCTTGTTAACATTTTAATGATTGTTTGCATTTGTATTGCAGGAACGGCAACGAATACAAAGTTAAGTGACATAGCTAGCTCCTTTTGGCAAACAAAGTTGTGTTGGGGGGATTCATAAATGTTAATGGTGGATCCTTTGTTGTACTTGTACCAATTGTATAATTGTACTTTGGTAGCCCTTTGTCAATAAAAGCATGAGATAGTGGTTCATTCATTCAAAGTGACTTTCTAGATTATATGAAATTGTAATATTATTCTTTCTGGTGTAACCATAGCAGCAGATGTAACATTAGGCAAAAGACCAACACGAGGTAAAACAGTTTTGTTGTGACTCCAATGAATTTGCTTGATTGCTCCGCAGGTTTTCTATTGTTATTGTTGTTTTCAAATTCTACAATGCTGAATAGTAAATTGGCAATAGTTATAATAGATTTCTTGGTTTTTAAAGAATTAATTTCACTTTTGGTCCCACTATTTTTGAGGTCTTACTTTTGTTGCATAGTTTTATTTTTTAATTTTTTAATTTTAGTGCTTAACTTTGTTATTTTTATCAGTTTTGATCCTCTTCTAGCTAAATTCACAGTGAAATGTTGATGAATTTTATATTTTAGGAGCAAAATTGTCATTCCAAGAAAAGATCTTCAATATCTAAACAAAAGAAAAAAAAATCATATTAAGAGAAAAAGAAGAGTTTGACAATCATCGATGCTATAAATTCTATAAATATGTGTCTAGTTGCTGCAAGTCTTCTCCATTATTCTCATTGATCAAACACCTATAGATATGATTTTACAATGAATTTGTTTAAATATTGAAGATGTTTTCTTGTGATGACGATTTTATCTCTAAAAATAAAAAATTCAACAATTTGAAAAAAAAGGTCAAAACTAATAAAAATAACAAAATTAGACACTAGAATTAAAAAATGTTAAAGTTGTACAATAAAAGGGATAAAAACCAAGTTATGGGACCAAAGGAAATTAATTCGTTTTCAAGTACTCCGGTAATATTTTTCATGAATTTCTTTTTCTTTTATTTTTTTTTTTCGAAAGGGTGTTAGCAGGGAGCCAGGGACCATCGTTATGCCATGGAATTGTGTTCACCATCCATGGTGAACACGGTCCCAACGGTAACGGTGCACTGTTATTTTTTTTTTCTTAATTAATCGCGTGACTTTTCTTTTTCATTTTCATATTTCGCGATTTCACTTTCTCTTCGTGCAAGTTTCTTCAACATTCATAAATTATGAATGTGCAGGCATGGATTTATGAATGTACAGTTATGAAATTATGAATTTCCTTTTATGAGATTATGAATTTTCTGTTATGAAATTATGAATTTTCTGTTATGATATTATGAATTTCTGGTATGCGATTATGAATTTTCTGTTATGATATTATGAATTTTCTGTTATGAGATTATGAATTTATAGAAAATTCATAATTACATAACTGTAAATTCATAATCTCATAACAGAAAATTCATAATTTAATAAATATTTTTTTTTATGCGATTATGAATTTTCTGTTATGAAATTATGAATTTACAGTATATTCATAATCTCATAACAGAAAATTCATAATCTCATAACAGAAAATTCATAATCTGAACAAACGCCGCCGTTAACAGCATATTAACTATAATAAAAAAAAAATCGTAAAAATAGTGTCATTTAGATCCGTGAATGGTGAACACGTTTCTAGGGCATAATTACTATTGGGCTAAAGGAGTACATTATTAGATTTGCTGAATCAGTTGCAGTACCACCAAAGAACTTTTGCAGCCTTAAATTTTGGATACTCCGACGTTTAAATAATTGAAACGTTGTTTTCAAAAAAAATAATAATAATAATTGAAACGTTTACGTATCGCAAACGCTTTATATATCTTTTTTTTTTTTTTTTTGCTTTTTAAATCTATTTTCCTAAAAAGCTGAGAGTCAAAAAAGGGCCAGATCTGATCTGAGCCACCATTAATGGTTTTCTGATAAAAACAATCCACCATTAAATTTGCCAGCTGTTCACACTTCACACCACACAAAATATTGATACTTCTGCTGTGCTGCCTTCTATCATTTTTAAATCAATTGTAATTGTCAATTCTACTTCCCATTAACGGATATTCTTCCCCTTCCCTCTTGTTGCCTTGTTGGCACCACACCGGAGTGTTTTACATTAATTGATATACTTAGCTTATAGTTAATTTTAATTTATTTGATCATTATTAACTGTTTAACTTAGTTAAATAGTTAATATAAGTTTTTAATTAATAGTTTTTTGTAACCGTTTATTGTTCCAAAATGCTAAAATTTAAAAAATTACTCAAAATATCTTTTTTCGGTCAGCTATTTGAGAAAGTCATTTGGCATGTAATCAGCTATAGCTAATTTACCAAACATCTTCCTACAATCAGTTAATGTTATCAACTAGTTAAACCCACTAACCTAATCAACTAACAGCTATTTACCAAACACCTTCGATATGTTTTACCTTGCTATTTGCTAAATTTATATCTTAATATTATATTCACTTTATACAATACTATTAATTAGTTTATTTTTGTATTTGATTATTTTATCAACTCATAATTGCATCAGTCAATTTGTGAGTAACAACTCAATTTTAAGAGGTAAATTCAGAAGAGAAAATTAATAAGTTTCATTTTATATTGAAAATGTGATATGTCTTTCTTGTAATGAGCACTTAATATTACGGAATAGTTTATTATTTATGTGTTGGTTTAAGTTCATCTAGTTTAACCAAAATACATTAAGGGTGTGTTTGGTTCGCACATAGAAATTGGAATCGGAATGGGCATCAAATACTCGGTAATAGTAATGAATTTTGGTGAAAGTATTTTGAATGTTTGGTAGTAGGGTGGAATGAGAATGATTATTAATATTGCTGTTTGATTATGTATGAGGAGGAATAATAGAATGAAACCCTTATTTTATTAGGGAATAGATTTTTTAATTAAGGAGGTAATCAAAACCTATAATAGTGTTCTCAAAATCTGTCAACCAAACAATAACAATGAATTTGATATCCGCTAAACCTGTCAACCAAACACACCCTAACATTGTCCCATAACGAGTGATTGAGTGAATGAAGCATGTGAATAACGATTTTAAGTGTTAATTGAACCTAAGTTCTTCTACTAAGAGTAATTTTTTGTATATTATTTTTATCTAATATTGTTGATTTATGTTTGTCTCATTTTTGGGATATACTGAAGATATTTATCATTAGACATATGGTAAACATGCATGTATATTGAATTGTAGTTTAGTAATTATTGTATGAAAAACAATGTCACTGCAGCCTAGTAGGATTATAGGCCACCAGCATGTCAATTATTAATTATAGTTGTTTTTTAGTGTGACACATTTTTGTTCTTTGACTTTTGTTGGTTTAATACACCACGAAAGAGTTTTTAGATTAATTTTAGAGAAAACGACATTTTTAATTTCTTAATTATCATCATGACATCGATTTTTTTGAAAGGAAAAGTTTCAATATAATCAAACGAGAAGATGTTCGATACAAGAAGGAACCGTAGAAAATCAATTAAAGTGATCAATATGAGAATTGATGGTGCTATAGATGTTCGAGCGGCTAATTCTTATACTGATCATGCTATAGATTTAGTCTCTCAATTATTAATGATGTAAATTTTATCTTTTAGTTATTATCAAAGTGGTATATCTAGCCTCTCGTGGATCAAATTAGTCATTTTATTAAGTGGCATAATAATGCAAATTTAGTCATTCAGAGATCAAATTCATCACTTTGATAATAGCTGGAGGATTAAATCTATACTTTAAAAAAACTAAAAGATCAGTTGTTGTCTGTGGGTTCGACTCCCTGGAGAACCGGGGCCACTAGGAGGCCCTACTGATCAACGTGAAGATAGGTTTCTTGTGCGTGAAGTCTCCCGATCTACCTGCCTAGGGGCAAGATTCATGGAGTCCAGGGTATAATCTGGCCGCAATATATATTGTGGACCAAGGTCCACCATGCCGCACTATGGACCATGGTCCAGATTATTATTATTATTATTATTATTATTATTATTATTATTTTGCTGTACTCAGGATTTTCACTGTCGAATATAATGACTAATCCTCTAGCTGAATTGTAGAGGTATTTTTTTAATAGGACAGCTGACCTAAGATTTAAGGCTGCTCCATACTCAAAGCCAAGGATCAAACCCTTGATGGTCCAAATTATGTATTTACAATTAATATACTATATTATCATAATGTGTATGGTGAAACTTAGTCCATGATATAACGAAATCTTGCGAACCTGGAAACCAGAGTCATAAAATAATGATAATAATAATAATTATTATTATTATTAAATTTACACTTTTAATTATAATTATGGGATTAAATGTGTCATTTTCGCTTAAGTTTGTATTGAGAAATTAATGTGATTCATCACAATAATGTTTTTAAAATAATGCTCACTGATTGAATCTTAATAGTTCTGGATAACTGTTTTAGTTGATCACACGTATCGAGGTCTGTGATTTCTTTACTAAATACGAGTACTTATTTTATGGCAAGATTTAATTATAATATTAATTAATCAATAACTATAATGTTTTAAATATCAATTCAATCAGTAATTATAATGCCATTAATACATGTCTTGTAGAACGTGAATTTTCTTGATAACTCAAATTTTCTCGGTCATGCGCACAAGTGATATGCCAATTTGTCAAATTATGCAATCATGTTTTGATCTTAGTCTCTTCTTTTAAATATTGTCTATCTACTGAACTAGTAAATTAAGCCCATATAAATATGTGAGATTATATCACTTAGTGAGACATTATTTACAAATATAATTATAATTTGAGGTGAAAGTCAAATAGATCATTCAACTTTTGTAAAAAATGTAATTAAACCATTAAACTCTAAAAAGTTTCAACTTTCGAATAAGTCATTGAACTTGAAATAATACAATTAAATTCTTTTTACCCCAATAAGAGGTTAACAACAACTTATAGCATACCGAGATGCCAGATTATAGCTATAACCTGTTGTTAACCTTATATAGGGGCAAGAAGGATATAGTTGCATCATTTTTTTTCAAATTTAATAGTTTATTTAGAAGAGTAAAAATTACATTAACAGCTATTTAAAGTATTATAATGGGTCAAAGTACTTACGAGGTCCATATACTATAGCGTTTTGTTCAATTTAGTCCTTATACTTTTATTTTGTTCAATTTAGTCCCTGTACTTTAAAAAGTGATGTAATTAAGGATAATAGTTAACATTGTTAATATTACCGTTAACTTAGGTTACGTGGCGCTGACGATATTTATATTTCCACTCATATATTGCTTTATAAATATTTAAAATTAGTTACTTTTACCACCAATATATTAAATTAGTATCTCTAAAATAAATAATTACAACCATGTTCCTAATAAAATTTGAACAATTATCTTTAATTTCACCACTTTTTATAATAGAGGGACTAAATTGAACAGATAAAAGTACAAAGATTAAATTGAACAAAATAATATAGTACAGGGACTTCATAGGTATTTTGACTATTATAACCATTATAATGGGTTAATTTATTATTTTGTGGTGACATCATCTCGTTAGTGTAATATATAATATTATGAAAATAAAGAAATGAAAAAGCTTAATATACAAAACGCTTATAAAACTACAATTAAAAAAAAAACTATAAATGTGTATTTACAATTTTATTTTTAAAAAATATGCATAAATATAAGTTATTTATCAATTTCATTTGCCTCATACAATTGTTATAAGTTTATAAGATAGTGTCACTGACAAGTTTAATACGTAATTTATCTCTTTTAAATAGTTTGCACGTTATTATGCCCGAATGAGTTTACTTAATGCACACTCTAAAATAGTTATCAGCACTTTTTCAGTGTAATCGGTGACATAATCTTCTGAATACAATTTATCTCTCCCGTATAATTATACACACCCTTAAATAATAACGAGTTTCTATTATCACCCAAAACAAAATATATTAAACATTGAGAATTTTCGTGCATCAAAAAATCAACAAATATACACCCACCGTTGGAGATTGGAAATCATCACCCCCACGCACATGCCCATACCATGACACTGAACATAATAATATAAACCAAGAGAAGTGGTAGCCACAAGGGAATGGGAAGGTCTATTCAGGATTTTTTGTGATTTAACAAAATAAAGTTGGTAAGGAAAAGGTAGAATGGGAAGGTCTATTCAGGATTCTTTGTGATCTAACAAAATAAAGTTAGGGAGGAAAGGGTAGAATGGGAAGGTTTATTCAGGATATCTCATGATCTAATAATCTAATAATCTAATAAAATAAAGTTGGGAAGGAAAGGATAGAATGAGAAGGTTTATTCAGGATACCCAGTGATCTAATAAAATAAAGTTGGGAAGGGAAGGATAGAATGGAAAGGTCTATTCAGGATACCTCGTGATCTAACAAAATAAAGTTGAAAAGGGAAGGGAGAGGGGAGAGAATATGAGTGTGTTTAGTTCATGGGTTTACACATCAGGAATGAGAATCAAAATCATATAAGATCTGATTACTCTTCAATTAAAAATCTCATTCCCTAATTAAAAATGAGAATCATTCCATCTTGTTATTTTAATATTTTTGTTAGATATTGTTATATTAAGATCAATTGCCTTAATTTTTTATTTTTATATTTTTAAAACATTTATTCCATTATAAGATTATACATAACCAAACATTAATATTGGTAATCATTCCAATTTCACCCTATACCAAACATACAGAATATTTAAACCAAAATTCATTACCATTACCAAATATTCGATTCTCATTCCGATTCCGATTCCCTTGTGCAAACCAAACACACCCTATGTTCACTACCTGCAAATTAAGATCTGAAAAGAAGAGTGAGAGTTGTACAAGAGCTGATTGAGGTGAGGTCAATCTACAGACCTTATACAGGACAAACAAAAACCCTATACAAACCAATCCAATCAGCAGTTAACTAACTAGAACTAGTGTGCCAAACTATGCTACAATGGAAGAAGAAGAAGAAGAAGATAAAGAGGGAAGTGAATGTGGTTTCCGATTTTATAGCTGCTCTCTACATATGCGCCCCGCCACCTTCAGCTTCAGCTCCTTCCTATCACCCCCCGAGAATAACAGCGCCATGCTTCTCTGAATGATTAGACCATCTAGACTGTCTCGTACGGTTTTGTGGCTGTCTCGTATGCTCCTCGGGATTCCTTGCCATGTTAGCTTTCTCCCGAACCCGCCAACTTCGAGGCTGTAGCTGAACTTCTTCGCGTCCTCCTCGTCACCCATGAAGCGGAGGAATGCCATGTACACCGGTGATATTCCGAGGCTGAATGCCTCAAAGTGCAGGCAGAACTGGTGACCAAAACAGTTGAAAACCTGTTCCATATATATCATATATGAATGAATGACATAGGTTTCCAAAACAACCAACAATTTCACTTGTAGTATATTGTGGTTTCCAATTTTATTCATGTTTTAGTAAGGTTAAGGTACGTATTGAAGGGAGTTAATACCTAATTTAGTCCTCGACTATAGTGTTTTTTCTCGATTTATTCCTAAACCACTTTTTGCGCTTAATTAAGTCCTCGACTTTGATGGTTTTACTCAATTGAGTCCTCTGTTAAGATAGCTTGATAATTTCACATCTATTAATACTCCTCGACTAAAGTAGTTTTACCCAAATTAGTCTTCGACTATAGTGGTTTTCACTTTTACCCCTTTTTTTTTTTTTGGGTCAGACCACGAGGTGTCCTGAGCAGGCCCTAACTGTAGGAGGCACCTTTAAACCCGTACCATACTCAGACTAATCCCCGTTCGCACCGAGCCGGCCCAATTAAAGGACAAAGTACTGGCCAGATTGATTTTTTCCATACAAGAGGGGGTTCGAACTCCCAACCTCTCTTAAGGGACAAGAGTGCAGGGTCACTCACGCTAATCAAGCTGGTTAGTGGTTTTACCTCATTTAGTCCTTGACTATAGTGATTTTTCTTGATTTAGTCCTCGATTCTAACAGCCAATGATTCAAGGCAGTTTATGTATTCTAGGTGATATAATAATCACACACAACTCAAAATGACGGAATAGCACATAGTAATAACTAGAGAGAGAGAGAGCAGTTACCGTCAACATCCATGTGGCGTTTTCAACATCTTGGGGATTGTTTTTGACATATCGATGGTTGAAGGTACATCCATCATGCATGTCAACCCTGTGATCATCTTTAAGGTGCGAGACGAGGAATTGAATATCACCAGTAACGGGGCAGTCAGAGCCAGCATAAGGGCAATTATACGGGCGAAATTTGCAGTTCTGCTCGTGCCTCAGTCTGCTATGATAAGGAAATATATCTTGACAACCAAACAGCTGATATTTACAAGGCAGTTCCAGCGATTCCGCAATTTTCTCCAAGGCCAAACATCTAATGTTCCCAAGATCGTGGCGGCATATTGGACATTGATGCACCTTTGACTTGCACTTCTGGCATAAAGTATGGCCATTGGGACACTAAACAAAAGGAAAACAATCACATAACTAATACTAAAATTCGGATATACCCAAAATAAAAACACCCTTTAATTATTATTAAATAAATTAAATTGAATGTTTTACCATGTCTAGACTTGAAAAACAGAAAAAAATACGGATCTCAATGTAATTACGAGTGTTTCTGAATGGACTTTCATTTGAATTGAAGCTCCATCTCAACTAAAAGCCTAAGCTGATAGTTGAAGACCTTTGGCATGACTCTGATACCAAATTGAAGCATGTGTTCCATCTCAACTAATAGCCTAAGCTGATAGTTGAATTGCACATTAATGGCTATAAGCTCAACAATTTGAATTGAAAGCATTGGAAAAACCTACCTGGTGAATTGGCGGGTACATCATATTTAAACAAACAGGGCATTCCAGTAGTTCATGGACGGCAGTATTTGACCCAACTCCATGCTTCACAGATGCAGATTTTCGAAAAGGGGAACCTTTGAATTCGGAACTTTCGGGTGCAATACCATAATCAGAAAATGCAGTCCGGGAATCAACAATGTCCTGGTAATTGTTGCCTCCAGGAGCCATTTGTTACAACCAAAATAAAATAAAAAAAAAACGGCAAGTTTGCAGTTCTTAGCACTGTATATCCCGCCTCAACTCTAAATCTTCTTCTAGCGTCCCTGAATGAATTAACCCTGTACAGCCAACAATACCTATCTTAATTGAATTAGATACAAGACCAGTCGTCTATCGGGAAAAAAAAAAAAAAAGCAATATTCTTTTATTCTTAACATTATGAAGTCAATTTTGGGAAAGTTATCAAGGATGCCTTTCTTGTCTGTTTCACCAATCAATAGAAGCCATGGAACTATACATACAATACAGTTACGGGATCTCAGTGAGAGAATGGTCGATACATGACAAAGACGACACCAGAAAAAAAGAATAGAAGCAACATGTGCAAGAACATTTAAAGTAAAAAAAACCACAACAGGTAAGGCAATTGCATTGTTCACATGAAAATCAGTTACAATGATGCCAAAACTAGCCCAATCTAATCAACAAGAATCTATACCCTCCCTCAAACTCGGATTGTAAATTACACATGAAACAGAGAATATAAATGATGAGACATCGTAAAGCATACAGGGACGTATGCTTTGTTTGGTAGAACTTAATAGCTTATTTTAAACTATAAATAAGCTATAAGCTCTGTTTGGAGCTTAAAATAATAGCTTATTTTGAAACGCTACCCTATTCAAGAAAACTAGTACACTAACATGCTTGCAAGAACTTGTTTCTCTTTTAATCAGGAAAAGCTTTTTGTTCTGTTCTTCTAAAAACCAAAACCCTAGTTGTAATCCTAATTTTTTCAAAAAAGAAAAAGAAAAAAGAATTGTAATCCTAAATTCTACGACAAAATTGGGGGGTTTCGGAGCTTTGGTAAAAAAGATGCAATTCGTTTTCAGTTTACCTCAAACAGAAAGATCCTCCTCGGATTCATGGGATAATAAAGTTGCGTCGAGAAAACGTTAAACAGAATCTTCCTTCCTTTAAAGGAAACTGAAAATACTGCTTGAACATCGCATGAAAGTATGGTTTTTGTTTGTCGGTAAATCCATAATCCAAGAAAAAGAATCACATCAAAATGGGATTTATGATTTTTGATTTTGAACCTCAACGAAGAACAATTTGAAGATACAATAAAAGCCTCACAACAATTAACAGAAATTTTTAGGTTTTGTCAGCCTTGACTTGATGTCATATTAGCAAAAATGGAAAAAGTCAAAAAAACACTCAAAACATTCAAAGATCAAATTTTTACACCGCAATCTTCTATTCCAACCACACTTTCCTAAATTTAAAAATTAATATTTCAAACAATTCAACCCAATTTTTAAATGCCCAAAATTCAAAAATACCCCAAAGCACACAACCAGATCCCCACCATTTTCATCACACATTGCACATTTTCCCCCAAACAAAAAAGAAAAAAAAAATCAAACCTGCAATTCTCAGCGTTGAAAGCTGAAGCCACGAAGAACAGCCTCAAAAATTAGAGCTGTGGGTAGAGAGAGAAAGAAGAAGAAGAAGAAGAAGAAAATCCATGGAAAAATTATTAACCCAAAAAGGCAGTGGAAATGGGGAAAAAAACTGGGTCAAAACATGGAAACCCCTGTGTTTAAAAAGGCCGGAAAGCTAAGCTAAGCTAATCAATCAACCCATTTTCTGATAGTAATCAATAATTGGGACCTGATTGAATTCACGAACAAGGCACGAAAGGGACAGGAATATGGATGAGGTAGATGGAAGATAGTAAGTGAGGTGGAGCAAAATCCTTAAAATCCGTTTCCTTCATTTACGTGTCCGGAATCCTCTTCCTAATCTTTCGTCATTTTCTAAGTGCTCTTCTGGATTTTATACACCACACACTTTACTTGCTTAATTAATTCATCATTTCTCACTATAAACTATGCAACTTTTTTTATCTCTCTTATTTCCAAATCATTTTAGCTTTAGTATCTGTTTATCATAAATGATTTTATATTGATGGTGAAAATGTCAAATCTCAAAATTTGGTGGAAAGAATTCTTCCATTATACAATTTATTAAAAAAAATTATATAAAAAGAGTGTCAGTAGAGCATGACTATTGTATTTAAAATGTCACGATTTAACTTTATTAAAAGGAGTGTATTCAATCATTACTTTTGTAAATTTTAAAAAAAAATTACATAATAAATTTTAATAAATTGACTTTTTTAGAATCGTTTAATACTTTTGTAAACTTTGTAAGATTCTATAAAAGTATTTACAGAAAAATATTAATATATTTTTATTAATTTTTTTTTTAATTTTAAAAAGTCTTCAAGTTTTCAAAAAAAAAAAAAAATCTTCACAAGTCATTGAAATTCTAAATTGAATACATTTTTACAAACTTTCAATAATTTTAATTCTTATCATTTATAATTTTCTTACAAAACATGATATTAATATATCATAAAATTCTTATTATTATATAGTTTCACCTATATCAATATTTTAAACGTTATTATTTTTATCCATAGAAACATAATTGTTTAAATAAAACATTTAAAAATAAAAAAAAAAATGAAAACCATTTAAAAATATAATTAGTAGTTGTCTAAAATTTAAAAAAAAAATTGAAAATAAAATTAATGATTGTTTTGGTCCCTCGAGCCGTAATTATCAAATTGGTACTCAACTATCAATTTTGACCAATTAAATCTTCAACTATTGATTTCATAATATATTTTGGTCTTCTGTCAAACTGATCGAGGACCAATTTGATAATTACGGAGGACCAAATCGGTTACAAAATCAATAGTTGAGAATTTAATTGATCAAAATTAATAATCAAAAATCAATTTGATAATTACGACATAGTCGAGTGACCAATACGGTCATTACTTCGTTTTGTTAGAATATGGTTGTGGAATTTTGCATTAGTTGCAATATAATTAATATAGTAAACATGTTTGGGAAGAATATAGTAAACATGTTTATACACAATGAATTTTGTTTTCAAACTCAATGCCATTTTATGAGTCATATATGTGGACGAAATTTAGTCATTTGCGTGAATACCAAACGGTATATTAGGCAATTAGATTTTGACACCTGTCTGTCAACATCGATTCATACAAATTATACTAAACAGCTATCAACTAACAACTAATTTATTGAACATCTCTCTATAATCAGCTAATGTTATCAACTAGTTATACTCTTTAATTAACCCAATCAGCTAACAACTAACAGTCATTTACCAAACAGGTTCATAGTAAATACATGTATTCACTATTAGTTTCTTGATTCATTTAACTAAAGTTTTGTTATGAATTTGATACATTCGAAGGGTAAAGATGTTCGAATACAATTGTCAAACTATAAACATTTATGCATGTGAACACACAAGCATAAGTCTTTATGAATTGATGAATTTTCATTGACAATTAAAAATAGAAACGTTTAATATACTATATAAATCTTCGACATTTGAAACAACAAGAGTGAAAACGAGCAATATGACTTAACAAAAATAAGGATTTTAGTTTGACGCGTATTCATTAACATCATATAGCAACAAGACTGGACAAACAATATGAGCGTATAGCAACAAAGGTGTGCGAACAACAAGATTTTATTGTAACCTCGAAGGTACGGTGTGGTTGAGTGAAAGGAACTCATTTATCCTTAACCGAAGATTAAGGATTCGATTATTGGCTTTGGGAATGGAGCAGCCTTAAATCTCGCTAAAATGCAGCCTTAAATCTCACTGAAATTAGTCACTGTGTCCGACGATGGAAACCCTAAACATACCATAAAAAAAAAAAAAAAAAGATTTTGTTGTTGCATGTTGTTCATCAAGCAACAAGAGTTTATGTTAGCAGTAGAAGTTTGGGCAAAATGAGTTTTGAGCAGTAACACTTTAACTGCACATATATTTTAATGTCTTAAAATCTTAATGGAAGTGTTAAAGTTATTTTACAGCAATTGAGCACAAAATACATATAAAATATTGGTTTTGATTAAATATGATTGTGGAATTTGCATCAATTCGGATATCATTAATAAAATAAACATGTTTATATGCAATGAGTTTTATTTTCAAAATCAATGCTATCTTCAAGTCATATATGTCAATCAAATTTAGTCATTTGTGTGAAAATCATACAGTATATTAGAATGTTTTTTGTTGTTGTTATAGCATTTTTGAATGCCTTCTTCAACCAACCTAGAAATTTTCTTACAAGGCAATGTATGGCATCAAAGAGAAAACTTAGCATTATCAATCAATTCAAACTAAAAGTTTCGTCAATATTATGTTATGAAGAAGAGTTCAATTATAATACAAGAAAAACACACATTGTATAGATTTCGGTGAAGAACCGACCAGCAGAATATTAGGCTTGGCAGATTTATATATCAATGCCTCGGTATCTAATGATCTCAACGCCCAAGTAGTCGACTGGTCCTTGGACTGCAACGTGTGGCTTTTGGACCTGAACACGCACAGCATTTACCTGGGGGTATTTGCTCAGGGTTGTAGATGAAATGCGTTCAGCCACAGATTCAAGAAGATTATGTGGTGACCCCTCCACAACCTCTTTTACTATGCTGCCAAATCGAAATGTTGAAATGATTATAATTAATGACAAATATTGTGCCAAAAGAAGCATCTGTTCCCAAAGAACATAATTGTTCCTTTGAACCTGTTATTCTAGAAGGCAAGATGGGAAGGAGTGGGTTCAACTTCAGTCATAAAAACTATCCCAAGTTGACCACATCAATTTAACAAAAGTAACTTAGTGAACAAATTGGTTCAAATAAGATAACGTTGTGAAAAGAATTGCATCTAAAGTCACAAAGCTCATAAGATCTATATATAATGATGATTTATCTATACTTGGTGAATACTAAAAACTTCAAGTGACTTCTACTAATAAATCTAGTACGGAGTATAACTGAATCGGCTTGCATTTTGAGATGCAAAGTAAACAACGGAAGAAAATAAATGTCTATAACCCACTTCAAAATGTTCATCCATTTACTTCATCTTTTGATCTAACTCAAACATAAAAAATAAAAGGAAGACAGTTACTCCAAACTCACCGGTAAATATCAGTGTAACTAAGTGTGTCTGATAACAGGTCAGATTTACCAGCAGTTCGAAGGTCCATCCAGGCATCCACATCCACTACAAACTTTTGACCCAGAGTCCTTTCTTCAGGCTTCACCCCATGGTATCCATGGAATTTTAAACCCCTTAGAACAAGTTTGTCTCCTTTTGGCATCTCATCACAACCTATCATTGCTCTTTATAAGAATTCAGCATAAACAAAAGATCACAAACTCCAAAGATGCAGTATTCTGTTTTATTATAATTTCAAAATATTACACCATATAAGGACTCTTTCATGTTCAAGAATTCATGTACACTTTGAAATTATATGGTTTATGCTAGACTTTTGTTTGGCATTACTTAACATTGATAATGGCTAACCACAGACCAACAGTGAACCACAGCCATAGCCGGATTAGCCGCAACCGCAACCGTAGCCCTAACACCACTGTTGCTTTGAATTAAGAACACAGTCATTAATGTTGTTAACCCTAGAAGCAAATGTTAATCCCTTATCTCATCTTCAAATTTGTGAGCAAATAACCACAAATTCACAATCACAATCACAATCCAAAAAGCCATCTATACGATATAGTATAAGCTCATGAAGATGAAACACTTTGAAACAATATTCACACAAGTTTTGCAATTAATCAAACCAAAAACCGATGAATTTCAATATCTTACTGCTCCGTGTTGGATTTCATATGATAAAAATATAAACATGTAGAACTTGTGACTTGTGTAGAAATATAGTTGTACCTGTAGAAGACGTCGCCATTGGTTAAGTAAGACGGCCGGAAAATGATCGGAACAGGAAGAGCATCACCGGCATTAACACCACTGGCTGTCTGCTAACTTGGTGAGGTACTGAGTGGTGGACTGGTAGTAAACGTTTTATACAATTCACCCTAAATCTTAAACAGAGTTGTTATACCGGTCCATCCTATAAGGTGGACCTGTTCCTAAACTAGGGTTAAATTGTGTAGTTTTTGTATTAAAATTATAAATTTCTATAATATAAATTGTGTTTTTAAGTCAAAACACCGAGAATTTGTGAATATAATATATGATTATCCAATCTTAAAATGTTAATATTGTGTGATTACAATTTTTTAAATGAATTTTTGAATACAAAATCAGGTAATTAATTATCTATACATTATGGGTTCGCAATATACAAATTGTGAACATTTAGTAGGTAAATTGTAAACATTTAAATCCAGATTCACCTTGCAAGGTAGACCCAGGTCAACAAAATAATTTGCGTATGAATTGCTTAAAATTTATGGACTTGGACTTTGAACTGTTTAAGACGCAAATTATTTTGCGACTCTAGGTTTGAATTGCAATAGGAGAAGTGATGAGTAATACTAAAAAAAAAAAGTATATATATATATATATATATATATATATATATTTTGCAACTCTATGACGTTGCGCGCAAATAAAGATGTCATTTCGATTTGAACTTATTTTAGTTTAAGAAATTTGAAATATGCATTGTGGACTTGTTGTTTAGCTTTTACAAATTTAAATTATTAGTGAAAATAAATAAATAGTTATATGGGCTAGAGAACTAAGGAATGTTTGAATCTTCAAACCGAATCAAATCCGAGCCGAAGCCGAATTATTCGAAACCGAAATCAAACCCCCCCCCCCCCCCCACCCCCCCCCCCCAAAAAAAAAAAAAAAAAAAAAAAAAAAACTAACTGAAAACCGAAATGCTCACTCCTATCATTTTTTTCACATTCAATAACTTATTTTTGAAGGTTTTTAGAGTTTGATAGTTCAATTACATTTTGATTTTTGAGACCTTATATTTTTCATAGAAGTTGAATGATTTTTAACACATATTCCAAATATTTGCCAATTTATTGTGATAAAAATGTAAAATCGCCTACTTCACGTGTTCCTACACCTTTGACCTCACCTCAGTCCGACAATTTGTAGATGAGTAAATAATGTGACTCATCTGAATAACAAAAAGGGAAAATCGCACTTTTGGTCCCTCAATTAGTATCCCATTTGCAATGTCATCCTTACTTTTCAATTTGGACAGAATTGGTCTCTCAATTATTCCCACTTTAGTCATTTTAGTCCTTCTGTTACTTAATATACATAACTCCGTTTAAACCAGGGGTGTAATTGGAATTTCACATATCCTTAAATATATTCAATCGGAGAGAAGGTTGACGGTCTTGCTGTCTCTCATCACCGGAAACTGCAGATCAAGGTGAAGGCCTTCTCTGCTTCGCCAGTCCGTTGCTGCAACGAAGGGGATCCAGCCACGACGCCGTCTGCCGCCGCGCCTACGCGAGATCTACCTTGCTCACCGGGGAGAACAGTGGTCGCCGGTGAGACCCAAATGTCGTCTGAACTGTTGCTGACGTTCGAGAGAGAGAGAGAGAGAGAGAGGCGGAGGTAGCGGGTACATAGAGATTAATATGTTTGTGTATCTAGTGATAATAAAGATGTTTACCTCAGTATCTTCGGTGTACCAATCGCCGATCAAAATGTGGTAATCTTAATCTGGGCGAGGAAACAACGGATGAACTACTTTAGTGTTGTAGATTCAGATGGGACCATACTCGCCGGTGGCCTTGTGAAGGTTGAGAGACGAGAAATAGATGTAACTTCTGATATGATCTTTCAGCTGAAAGCTGTAAGTTCAGTTCCTTCCCAGCGATATAGGACAATTGGTTCCTTGTACTCCATCTTCCCATGAACTTCCCCTTAATTGCACCTGATTCCTACAATAATCCAAGAAAAATGAATAAAAAAAAAATAGTTTTCTTTGTATGTTAATCAACAAACTAGATGTACCATGAGAAATGGTTCGTCCAGGTTGTTGTGATTGTTAACGTTGAGTACATCATTGGTTGAACCATTCAGGAGGGGTCCTGAAAACTCATCATTGATCACAATTACCTTTTTTTTTTTTTAGCAAACAGGTTAATAGATATGATCCTCTTAGCATTATTATAATATAAATTAGCAATGATCAGAAACTAACCTTCCTTTGTACTCTAAGAATTGAATGAGTGGAGAAGGAAAAAATCCAGTCATAGAAATGTTCTTGGTGCTTACACAAACAAACAATGACATGACTATGAGACTGCAAAGAAGTGGGGAAAAAGACAAAAATATGCGGTCAACAAGGAAAAATTCCCAAAATGTGTCGTATTTTTTTTTTGGACAAAAATATGCAAAACTCCATTCGTAGTTGCGTTTTTGATGTATTTCGTATTTTTCTTGTATTCGTAGAAAACGCAAGAGGCAGTTGCGTTTACGTATTTGTATACGTAAAACGCAATAGGCTCTTGCGTTTTTGCGGCAATACTGTATCCCACAATACGCAACTATGTTTTGCGTTTTACGTATTATACGTAAAACGCAAAACCAAGTTGCGTTTTTGTGAAGTATTTGTACTCCTCGTCGCGTACGGCGGTAAAAAGAGAACCACGCTACAACTGGATTCATTCCCGTTTTGGAAATGTGGATCAGAGAAATAGACAGCAAAAAGCATACCTTTGAAAAATAATACTCCGTAATAATAATGATAAGAATGCAGCAGATAACAGCGATGAAGAAAAAGTGAGGACAGAACTCACAGAAGACTTGGAGATAATATTCTATCGCGAATTGAAGTTTTCTTCCTTCACCTGCGGAATTCTTTTCCTTTCCTTTTTCTTTGGTTCTGACTTCTGCGAGTCAAGCGAAGAACGCATACGAAATTTGGGTCTTGCATTTTACGGCGGTAAAAAAAACGCATTTGGGTCTTGCGTTTTACGTATTCACAGGTACAATACGTAAAACGCAAGACCCAAATGCGTTTTAGCGTATTCCCTACGTATTTTGAAAACGCAACCACCAGTTGCGTTTTCTGTATTTAACAAAAAAAAAAAAAATACGGATGAAATACGTTCAAAAACGCAACTCTCAATAGAGTTTTGCATATTTCTATCAAAAAAAAAAGTCATTACATATTTTGGCTAATTCCCAAGCTTTTCTACACATTCTAGTCTTTTTGCCACTGTTTCCTTCACCGTCTTCATTGTGTTCAGACTTACAGTATGTTAGTTCTTCAAATCGTAATGATACTTTTAGCAATTCAGAAAGTTGCTCTCAGAGGGATCGCAGCAACGTACCAGCGACCCCTCTCTCTCTCTCTCTCTCTCTCTCTCATGGCAGCAACAGTTCGGACGAAATCTGAGTCTCACCGGTGACTCCTATTCTCCCCGGTAAGCACGGTAGATTTGGCGTGGGTGCGACGACAGACGTCATCGTGGCTGTATTCCCTTCGAAGCAGAGAAGGCCTTCACCTTGATCTGCAGTTTCCGGTGACGGTGATGAGAGACAGCAAGACCGTCGACTTCTCTCCGGTTGAATATATTTAAGGATATGTGAAATTCCAATTACACCCTGGTTTAAACGGAGTTATGTATATTAAGTAACAGAAGGACTAAATTGACTAAAGTGAGAATAATTGAGGGACCAATTCTGTCCAAATTGGAAAGTAAGGATGACATTGCAAATGAGCTACTAATTGAGGGACCAAAAATGCGATTTCCCCTAACAAAAATTAAATTTTTGTTCACCCGAGGAATCCCTCATTTTGAAAAGTTGTTCCACATTGTTGTTACTGAGACTCGACCTTCGGTCTCGCCAATTTCTGCCCACGGCGCTCAGCAACTACACAAACTTGTTTCTGAAACTCCAACATTTAACTCCACAGACTTCTCTCTGCAACTCCACTCCAACTCTCCAAGGCCTTCTTCTTCGTACAACTCCATAGTCTGAACAACAATTGGAGCAGTTTCCTGTAAGTTATTTCTTTTCCCCACAATCCTGATTAGTGATTAATGGCGTGGACGGGTTTCGGAAAATTGAGAAAGAATGACATGAATGATGATTGTAAGGTGTTTGATAAAATTCCTCATTGGCATACGGAATTTTCAAGTGACCGTCATTGTTGGCATGCCCACTTTTCTTTATACCTTATGAGTCATAGAAGTGCGAGCTGATAAGATTATGCATTATTGCACTTACTCAAGGGAAGACACAAAGACATAAACAGCTGTAGAACAATAACACTTTTTAAAACTAATTAAATACTCACAAGTTGGAAACTTGCAAGCTCGTAAGCAAAGGTGTGTACTTCTCAAGTATGCAATAGGTAGATTCATCGTAATGTTAAATTACCATATTCCTATTTGATTTCTGTAAATTCATTTTCTACAGTTTTGCTGCAGAAACTTTTCTCCCCAATCTATATACATAGTTTAGGCAGAATGAATTAAATTCTTGGGACATTGATGTAGAGTTGTCATCAACATATCTAATAGATGCTTAAATCATCTCTGTTGCTTCAATAGTAGTTCACAACATAAATGTTCAATTATTGACACTAACAGTTACATTACACTGAGAATTTAATGTTCTCTCTACTCTGGTGCACCAAAAAATTATGATCAATGATGCAAATACCTTTTACCAAAAATCTGGCTTACTTTATCGGTCTGTAGTATCACAGTAAGAGTAATTCCATATCTTCTTTGCTAAATTTTAGTAAAACATCCAAACAATTTTATCTGCTTTTAAAGGAACTTATAATATGTTTGCCAAACATAATTCATAAATAATAAAATCTTTTTGAAAAAAGTTCATTTTTTTTATGTTTTCTAAAATTGAGATTTTTGCCTTTTAATCATGAATTTCTTATACAAAAATAATAATAATATTTTATTATCTTTTGATTTTAAAATGCTCTTTTAGGTTTTTTCATTTTGTGAAAATGTTCTGACTTACAAAATGGAAAATTAGAAAAGCAGCAAAGTTAAAGCATCTTTCATTTGGTTGTGCAGAAAACCTTCACTGAAGAGTGACTGCAGGATGATAGTTCGAAAGTTGTCGCCATCCAAGCTCAAGAAGCTTTTAAGCCCACTTTGTTTCTCCACCTATACTTCCACAGACCCCATATCTAACTGCCTCCCCAATATTCAAACCTTCCAACCCATTCATATCCAAAACCCTGCTAAAACCCTAGTCCCATCCTTCTCCTTCAGAACCTTCTCTGCACTGTCTTCTCCAGCTTCACTCCTCAGCCGAGATGGAAATTACAACGAAGCCACTTCAGAAGCCCTCCCTATCTGCCCTGGTTGTGGTGTTACCATTCAAGACTCTGACCCTAAGCAACCTGGTTACTTCATCAATCCGTCAACTAAATCCCCCAATTATAAGGCACCCATTGATAGAAATCCTATAGCTGATGAGGTAGATATCTCGAATTCCCTTAAGTCAGGACTCTTAAACGAGCTGGTAGAATCAGAAAATGAAGAAAATGTTGAAAAGCTGACTTTGACGCCCCCCAAGAAGCCCGTGGTTTGTGCTAGGTGTCATAGTTTGAGACACTATGGGAAGGTGAAAGACCCAAGTGTTGAGAATTTGTTGCCAGATTTTGATTTTGATCACACAGTTGGGAGGAGGTTGATGTCAGTAACTGGGGCAAGAACCGTGGTGTTGATGGTGGTAGATGCATCAGATTTTGATGGGTCATTTCCTAGGATAGTGGCTAAGCTAGTTTCAAAGACAATTGAAGAAAACTCTCGGGCATGGAAGGAAGGGAAATCAGGGAATGTGCCGAGGATTGTGCTGGTGGTGACAAAGATTGATCTTTTACCTAGCTCAATATCACCTACTGGGCTTGAACATTGGGTTAGAACAAGGGCTAGAGAGGGTGGTGCAATCAAGTTGACCAGCGTACATTTGGTGAGTGCAATCAGGAATTGGGGTGTGAAGAATTTGGTCAATGATGTGGTAGCGTTGGCTGGGTCAAGAGGGCATGTATGGGCAGTAGGTGCACAGAATGCTGGGAAGAGTACATTGATTAATGCAATTGGGAAATGTGCTGGCAGGAAGGTGACTCATTTGACTGAGGCACCTGTGCCTGGGACTACATTGGGGATACTTAGAGTGGAAGGGGTACTCCCAAAGAATGCCAAATTGTTTGACACTCCAGGCCTTTTGCACCCTCATCAGATCTCAACTAGATTGACTAGGGAGGAGCAAAAGCTAGTTCATATGAGTAAGGAGCTAAAGCCCAGGACATATAGGATCAAGGTTCGGCGATCTTTGCCCAACTGTTTGAATTATTTTCTTTTTCCTCAAATTGATTAATGAGAATTAGTGTTTTGCCCTTTGGGTACCCTTGGAACTCTGTGTGGATGCTTTAAATTGCTGCTTCTCTAATCATTATGTTCAGAGTTAATATTTTGGGTGTTCAACTTTCAATTGAAGCTTCAAAATGCTAGTTACTCATTTCATCAAAGCATATCCTGACAGATCTCTCCTCCATGATGCCTAAACAATGGGCATTTCTTGACTCATCCATGCCCCCACCCCTCATCTGCTTGAAAGGGAGAAAAAGAGTGAAAATATTGAAGGAATTTTTATGCTTAATCTCAATGCTACTTGGCCAAGATTCACCAAGAATCCATCTATTTGTAAATTTATATTTTGCTTATACATTTGTAGTATTGATGTTTTCATTATGTGGTTTTGATAGGTAGGATATTCAGTTCACATTGGTGGGCTAATGAGGCTGGATGTAGAAGAATTATCAGTTGATTCTATATACATTACAGTCTGGGCATCTCCTCTGATTCCACTTCATATGGGAAAGACGGAGAATGCAAGCGAAATGTTGGAAGAACATTTCGGCCATCAGTTACAGGTATTATTTGATTTGGTCAATTAGTAAAGTTTTCCATGCTTTTATTGAACAATATCCATTTTGATTATAACACTGTTACAAAATGCTTTTTCGTTTTGTAATGTAAACAATTCACTTCTTGCCAGAGAGCATGCCCATTAACCTTTTAAAGAAAAAACTGAGGGAACTTTTAAATTAACCTTCTGAGTGTTGGAGTTAATTTTTTGCCGTACATCTAGAAGAATATGAATAGTATATGGATGGTTCATATCATGGCATATTTGAAACCATATACTTTTGAATGAGTGGGGTCTCACAGAGAAACTCCAATGGCTAGAATGTCTGAACTGGGGTATTTTGTGTAAGTTCTTGACCTTATTAGATAGTGCTCATCTTGTATGATATCATGCTTCTGTTGACAGCCTATGTTATGTATATTACTGAATGCCTTTTTCTGTTTGCCTTTCTTTCAGCCACCAATTGGAGGAGATCGTGTTGCAAAGCTGGGTGAGTGGGTGAAAAAAGAATTCCGTGTCAGTGGCAATGTATGGGATTCGAGCTCTGTAGATATTGCTGCCTCTGGTCTTGGTTGGTTTGCCATTGGACTTAAAGGAGAGGCTCAATTAGGAGTGTGGACATATGATGGAGTTGATGTTGTGGTTCGCAATGCCTTACTTCCTTACAGAGCGCATAACTTTGAAGTTGCTGGTTTTTCAGTATCTGAAATTGTGTCAAGGGCTGATCGTTCTAAAAATAAGCAACACTCTAATGAGAAGAAGAGAAAGCTGAGTGACACAATGGCAACAGAATTTGCTCCATCATCAACAGTTGCTGCTGATACAGCTCCAAACTCCACTTAAGCTTGGGTTGCAGGATGGTATTATACTGGGCCAAATTTGCAACAATAGTGGGAGTTGAATGGATTTGCTTTCTAAGCTGGAAGGCGCACAGTGCATGGCCATCATCAACTCAACTATCAGATCAGAGTTCCAATACTGCTTTAGCCTTCAGCAGAAGTAAAATGCATTTGTTAGTTACTTGATCAGACATGGAGCAATAGGTAATAATCTTATTTGACAATACATGTACAATTTCCTCAACTCGAGTTCTAGTCTTGGTTTTTGAACAGGATTGAAAAACCAATTTTGCAACTTTAGGACTCAGTCCATTACTAGCTTCAATATGGTGGCTTTCAAAACTTGTGTTGTTTCAGAGTACTTTAGTAGTTTTTGCCTTTGAATTGAAGTTTTGTTAGGATGTTGTATACAGTTTCAATATGATATGTTAAGAAGGCAAACCTTATAAATGAAAGTTATTACAGCCAGGTCAAGGTGACCTATTTATTCAAACTAACTTCAGATGATTCTTCATTGTTTCTGCTATGTTCTTTGCATATCTATGAAACTAAAGCCTTGAGCCAGGTTTCTTTGTTGCTGCAGCTGACGAGGACTGTCGTGTTGCTTGCTTATTATGTTGTTCATTTTCTTCATCCCTTTCTTTGCCTCTAGCCTTATCCTTTGGCTGTGTTGTTTGCTTATTATGTTGTTCATTTTCTTCATCCCCTTCTTTGCCTCTAGCCTTATTATCCTTTGGCTGCTTTGTATATTCCGGGGAGTAGAGCTTTAGCTGCCCCTCTTCTTCGTCGTTCGTGGATGATGATTTTGGATGAGCAGCAGAAGAAGCTCCTTTCCCTTTGTGGATTCTGCTTGAGTTTGTCATCTTCCTCGCAATATTGCTTGCTTGCTTTTTGATCAGCTCACTCACACTTAGTTTTTGAAAGCCTAACTTTTTTTGAGAAGTGAGGATGGATGCTAATGTTGAAATTGAGTGACTTTATAGGCTGTGCTGATTTTTGTGTTGTTGTGCTTTTAGCCACGTGCCATTGTACCTAGCAATTTCCTGCACGTGGCAGCTTTTTGGGGATTTTAAGGAATGCTGCTGTTGTTGTTATACGAGGAGTCATCATCAGTGTTTATCAACATTCAACAACCAAAAGGTCATGCCTCTTCTGGTCAATTCTTATGCGTATTCATATCAAACCCCGCAATTTGCACTGAGAAAAAAAAAAAAAAAAAAAAACTATGGATTTAGTCAATTCAAGTAGTAGGAATAATACATAATAAAGTGAGACAAAGGTTTATACTAATGAATGAGAAGAATGGTAATGGCCGTGCACGACATGTTCCAAAAAGTCTATTATTGTTCATTCTATTTCTTATAGTAGCAGATTTATAAGACAAATATTTTTAACATAAAAATTCAAACTATAGACTTGTTTGAACTAGACAAAGTCAAATGGTTTTACTATTTTTTGTTATGATGTTACAACTTACAAGTATAAAAAAAGTCATTAAATTTTTTCTTGATTAAGAAGATGAATCCAAAGGAGAAATGGACTTTGGTTTTATAACTGCCTCCCTAGGAGAGTCATCCAATCTTTGAACAATATTTATCTTAATAACAAACAATAATAAGATAAAATAGCTTAGTTGGTTAAATTGTTATCTCAGATACTCCTAAGTCGAAAGTTTGATGGTTTTGCCCGCACAATAAGTTCAGTAGGCTAAAAATTATGTTTAAAATGGGCAAATCTCTTGTGCACATCGGCATTTAGCTCTGTCTGTCGAGCCATTGAGTCACCGTGATTTTCATCCACCCAAATGCTCTATCAGGTCGGGGTGTGAGGGCCCTTAGGATTGAAGATTAACCTTATGAGAGAAGGAAAATAATCGAGAACACAACTCGAGTTTTCTTTCTATTTATAATAAGGGCACGATATCTCTTTTGGCAAGCAAAAATTAATAAGCATAACATTATCTATTAACATAATATGAAACTCTGTTCATGTAGTTGTATGGCTTGGAAAAATTATTCAGAAGTGGTATCTACCTGACTACTTCAGAAAAAGGCATTGAACATTACAATGATAAGTACTTAGTTACCAATGAATAGTTATCACAGTAATGATGTACATTCTCTAACAACAAAACCATTCCAACTTTGCTCGAATCCATAAACAAAATATCCAGATGGTTTACAACATTTGTTCATACCAAGAAGTATACCAACTCTTATCAACACTGTCATTTCTGATACACACCATCTAGCTAGCTGGCATCAAACGCGTTTTCTTTAACCACTGGATCTTAGTCGATGCAATGCAGTATGCACGCAGATTGGCCCAGTTGTAGCGCAAAATTACACGTCATTCTTGTATGGAGCATTTCCAAGATTAGTAGTAATCACTGCACTTCCATCTTGTTGAAGAATCATAGGATTTACTCTCTAGAGCATATTAAACACTGCCGGGGAACCAACAAAGGAAACATGTAATCGAAGAGGTAAAGAATTTGCCAAGGACCTTGTAATCCAGTGGCACAGGTAGTGAGACTCGCTATAAGATGTCTCGAGATCATGATGGAATGCAAACTCACCTAAGAGTTTGGTAGTATGCGGCCATTGTACATTTTGTCGAGCAATTTCCGTGCTTCTGGCCGCCTAAGAAGACCTTTGTTGTTTGGTAGACCAGTTCCCAAACACACTGGGCATACAAGTTTTCCTCGTCCTGGACCATCATTCATACAAAAGATCACCAAGCATGAAGATAAACTTTGCAGAAATGACTATATATAAAAAGTGAAACCATTCCACTTGTATGCATATAATATGAATGTGGCATACCATAACAATTTGGGCATTCAGTGAACTCATATACATCCTTGGCCCTCTTTCTGTTTAAAGCCTTCCATTTTCCCGTACCACCACACATATCACCTATTAAAAAAATTTTAAAAAATGCACATCTTATGAAGCAGAACAGAACACCAAAAAAAAAATCTATAATTTGGTAAACTGTTGTTGGATTCTTAAGCATGATTATCTTAGTTTTCAATTCAGAATTTGTGAGGTTGCTACTATTTAATTCTTTAGAATGAGATTTGCCTTCATTTGAGTAATAGTGAGCCTTATATTCCTCATTGTGGCTAGTTACATCTAATTTATTATGAAATAGGAGTAATCTAACTCCATGTGACAAAATGAAGCAACAAAACACGCCATGTCAAGCATAATTCATAGACAAACAAGAAACCTGGTGGGTGCTAATCAAATATTACGATCAATAAAGTTTTAACTCAGCAAGCAACAAGCAAACATAATCTTGTTGGAATAACCTTAAGGCATGGTTGCAGTAGGCGCTAGTCAGGCGAGAGAGTAGTGCCTAGCGCTGCCTAGGCAGCTAACTATTAATAAAATAAATAAATAAGTGCGCGTGTGTGGGTGTATGTCATATATATATAATTTTAAAAAAATTAACAAGGCCGAGTCGGCCGCCTAGGGGGTAAATTGCCTCGGCCTAGGGGCGACTAGGCGGCCGCCTAGGCCGATTTTTGCAACAGTGTCTGAAGGATATTTATAGATTTATGTCTATATATGTAAACAAGCCCCTTAAATATGTTGAAGAATCATCTGATAGACTTGTTTATTACTCGCAAACTAAAACAGCTATTCTGATAAAAATCCACATTAAAAACAATTAACCTCCTACACTTACAAATTATTGCACCACTACCACCACAATTCCGGCACCCAGCTCTTTCTTTTCCATCTGAGGCAATTGCTTTCAGTTCAGATAAAGGGTTGGCAGATGAACTAATCAAAGCTACAGCTGAACAGAGGCAAGTCAGGCACACACGTCTTGAAGTTTTAATTTGAAGCTCCTGTTCACTCGAAATAAAATAAAAAATAAAGTCAAATTGAATCAGTACTCTACACTCAAAATAAGTGAGAATCATTATAAGTTGGTCATAAGAAACATAAATGACAATTCTGATAGTATTTTTGTCAATGTTATGAATTACACTTTCCAAACTATGAACGAGCATAAGTGCACTATGCCATTTTCCCATGAATTGCTGGAAGTAAACCTATCATTTGGATGAATGAAGTTGACCAACATTACAACACGATATAGCAGTCATATAATCAGATCAGTATTATATCATTAGACAGAGAAATGCACAAGCAAGAGGTATTAACCAGTATTTTAGAAAGAGGTGATAAACTGGGCTTTGCATTGGTTCAAAGAAGCTCTAATAAATAGAGGATCGGCCCTGTTTGGTAACATAGTTAGCTTATCAGCCAATTTTGGCTTATTTGACCACAATTAGCTATTTGACTTGGTTAAACAACCAATATGAGTGTTTGATTAATTAGCTTTTTGTAACAACTTATTGCTCCAAAATGCTAAAATTCAAAAAACTGCTCAAAGTAGCTTTTTCGATCAGCTTTTTGAGAAAGTCATTTTGCATGTAATCAGCTATTGGCTAATTTACCAAACACTTTTCTACAATCAGCTAATGCTATCGACTAGTCAAACCCACTAACCCAATTAGCTAACAGCTATTTACCAAACACCCCCGACACTTGGTTTACATATTTTTGTGTACTAACGAGGACCTCTCAAGGACTAGCACTATAACTAGACTAATGCTATGATAAGATGTGAGCTTATGATGTTTAAACTTGATTCATTAGTGAGGAGATATAAAATTAGAAAAGGCATACTATACCGTACCACTAAAATATTGCTATCACATTCAAGTTTTGCTCTCATAAGGCACTACAGTGTGAGAGCCTGTCCAAACGATAAATCCTAAATCATACTCTAGCTATAGATTCAAATTTTTCTAAATGTGTCAAACTTCAATATAGGCTAATTTAACACCTTTCTTACATAATTGAGTGGTTTCATATCTAATCTCCCAGGAAGCCCCTGTGATTTAGTCCAAAGCAATACTCGGTAATATGAGCACACAAAAACCTATTTCAGTCTTGAAGAATGCAAGAAAAATCTAAACTCTTAGCAGCTCACCATGAAGTTACTGAAAACTAGAATTTGAGAGTATTGAATATGAGTAAGTGAATAGATTCCTGAGAAAAAAGACAAGCCTTTTTGTTGATGGGTTGCTCTGAGTGGTCTGAAAAATCCGAAGAACTACCCTCCTTATCCAAGCTGCATTTCACTGATTTCTGATTGCCTGCCAACCAAAATATAACAAAAATTTGTCAACACCGAATTTAGGAATCATAATACGAAAAAAAAATTAAAATTTTTTATCAGTTTTCAAAAAATTCAACTATCTAATCTTCATTAAACAAGTGGCACAGGATAGTAAAAGAAAATGGAGTGAAGAAAAGTAGAAATGCTTACAGTTCTTTGAAGAGGAAGGAGTGGAGTGTGAGTAGAACCGGCAGAGAGCGGAAGGGGTAGGGAACGAAAGTCGAGACGCCATTCTCGAACTCACTCTCTCAAGTCTCAGACTTGATTCTTCTTGATTGCCTATGACGGTTAACCACAACCGCAGATGATAATCCACCGCCCACTATGGTCTATTTTACCAAATGGATTTTTTTTTTCTTTTTAAAAAAATTTAATAATAATATGGGAGAGTGATCAAATAAATTTTTGGAAGAAGGTTTAAATTGGTCATGAATTTAATCTGAAAGTGTAATTAGGTCATTGAATCAAAAAAAAAAAAAAAAGTGTAATTAGATCACTAAAATGTATACAATTTCAATTTATAGCAAGTTATTATACATTTCATCAGATTTTCTGCGGATGTGGTGAGTTGATATTTTTAATAATTTTTAATAATAAATTTTAAAAATATAAAATATAATAAAAATATAATAAAATAAAATTAATTATTAAAAATTATCTATTTCACCTTAACGTTTTTTTTTTTTTAATTTTTTTATTTTTAAAGTTAATTGTTAAAAATTATCCATTTCACCCCAATGTTTTATTTTATTTTTTTTTATTTTTAAAGTTAACTAGTATTTTCATCCGTGCGATGCACGGAATGGAATTGTTGTAATATATTAATAATATTTAAATCGATATATAATTATTTAAGAGTTAATTTCACCAGAAGTCGCTTATTTTTTCTGATAATTTCAAATTTAATCCTAGACTATAGTTATTAATTATTACGATTTATTCTATATTATAATTCTTATGTTAAAATTCTTACTATTATTATTAACACTTAATTACTTTTAGATATTATTTTTACCACTTATATTATTATTATTATTATTATTATTATTATTATTATTAGCTTCGTTTCAAGTTTTGTTAGTATATAATGGCCGTGAGGCACACATAATAATATAACCATAATTAAATATTCTTGTATTGTAATCCATGAGTCACAATAATAAGGTAATAATAATTAAGCCCGCATGGGTAGTTCAACTGGTCATAGAGGTGAAACTTTGGAAGAATGACTAGGGATCAAGTCTCATCAAAGATCTTTTGGAAGAATATAACAATAATTAAGTCACCATGATTTACATCCTCCCAAATGCTCTGTAGGGTCCTTAAGGTTGGGGTTCTTCCTTTTGGAAGAATATAACAATAATTAAATATTCTTCAATTCTATATTCTTCTAGGATTTCTATTACCATCATTAATTATTCCGTAATTTATCATAATTAAATAATTTGACCAATTATAAAGAGAGATTATTAAAAAACTGCACGGGACAATTTTTTAATTAAAAAATTTAAAAATTCATTAATAAAACATAAGGTTCAAATAGTTTTTTCTTAGAAACTATTTAATAAAGCATTTTTTTTAAGAAATTGGTGGGCCAAACTGCCTACAGCAGTTTGCGGTGGATAGATCTTGAAAAAATACGCAATTTCAAAAAAAACATTTGTCCAAAATGGACAACCGAGTCAAAAGTTATGCCTTGCCGAACTTTTGACACTTCACATCTTTTACCCAGAATTATTGTACGAATGGGAAAGATCAATATATTTTATTGGGAAGAGAGATTTTTTAGGAATTGGGCGGGAAGTTAAAATTTCAGGATTTTGTTTTTATATATAGTATAGATTAGATGTGCAAATGGAATTGTATTACACTATTTTATAATTTTAGAATAGAATTTTTACCCAGAAATATTGTACGAATGGAAAAGTAGAAGTTAATATATTTTATTGGGAAGAGAGATTTTTTAGGAATTGGGCGGGAAGTTAAAATTTCAGGATTTTTTTTTTTTTTATATATAGTATAGATTATATGTGCAAAGTGAATTGTATTACACTATTTTATAATTTAAGAATAGAATTTTTACCCAGAATTATTGTACAAATGGGAAAAATCAATATATTTTATTGGGAAAAGAGATTTTTTAGGAATTGGGCGGGAAGTTAAAATTTCAGGATTTTGTTTTTATATATAGTATAGATTAGATGTGCAAAGGGAATTGTATTACACTATTTTATAATTTTAGAATAGAATTTGTACCCATAATTATTGTACGAATGTGAAAGTAGAAGTTAATATATTTTATTGGGAAGAGAGATTTTTTAGGAATTGGGCGGGAAGTTGAAATTTCAGGATTTTGTTTTTATATATAGTATAGATTAGATGTGCAAAGTGAATTGTATTACACTATTTTATAATTTTAGAATAGAATTTTTACCCAGAATTATTGTACGAATGGGAAAGTAGAAGTTAATATATTTTATTGGGAAGATAGATTTTTTTAGGAATTGGGCGGGAAGTTAAAATTTCAGGATTTTGTTTTTATATATAGTATAGATAGATTATATGTGCAAAGTGAATTGTATTACACTATTTTATAATTTCAGAATAGAATTTTTACCCAGAATTATTGTACGAATGGGAAAGATCAATATATTTTATTGGGAAGAGAGATTTTTTAGGAATTGGCGAAAAGTTAAAATTTCAGGATTTTGTTTTTATATATAGTATAGATTAGATGTGCAAAGGGAATTGTATTACACTATTTTATAATTTTAGAATAGAATTTTTACCCAGAAATATTGTACGAATGGGAAAGTAGAAGTTAATATATTTTATTGGGAAGAGAGATTTTTTAGGAATTGGGCGGGAAGTTAAAATTTCAGGATTTTGTTTTTATATATAGTATAGATTATTAAAAATTATCTATTTCACCCAGCGTTATTTTTTATTTTTAATTTTTAAAGTTAATTACTCAAAATTATTCATTTCACCCCAACGTTTTTTATTTTTAAAATTAATTATTAAAAATTTATCCAATTCACCCTAGCTTTTAAAAAAAAATATTTTTATTTTTTGTTTTGAAAATTAATTATTAAAAATTATTTTAAAATGCTAATTCACCATCCACGTAAGCAGTCAACCTGATAAAATGGTTAGTAACATGCTATCAAATCAAATTGCATACATTTGGAGTGTTCAGTGGTCTAATTGCACTTTTTCGTTCAATGACCTAATTACACTTTTAAGTTACCTTTAGTGGCCAATTTGAATCTTATTCCTAAACTTTTTAATTTTGTAGGATACAACAATTAAACCCATGAACATTTAAATGTTGCAATTAGATCATCAATCATCAAACTCATTAAAATCGGTCAAATATATCCAATTTATCAATAAATCTACATCGTTGATCACTTATTGCCGTTAACCGCCGGTTAAATTCACCGCTGATGACCGGAGAGGCGACCAATCTGGTCGCCATCTCTAGGAGAGAAGGTGACCAGGTCGCCATCTCCAGGAGAAAAGGCGACCAAATTTGGTTGTCATATCCAGGAGAGAAGGCGACTAGATTTTGTTGCCTCTCCAGAGATGGCAACCAGATTTGGTTACCCCTCCGGAGATAGCAACCATTTTTTGTTGCCTCTCCGGAGATGGCAATCAATTCGATCATTGGCAGTAGATTTGGAAAGCGGTCAATGGCAATATAGTGGTCAACTGTGTAGATTTACCAGTAACATGTTGGTTACCGATAAATTGAATCTATTTGATTAATTTTAATGAGTTTGATAATTTATTGTAACGTTTAAATGTTTAGGGATCTAATTTCTTTATCATACAAAGTTTAAAGGCTTATTTGACCATTTTGCCTAACAATGTTTATGTTTAAATTGAAATGTTCTTCAAATTGAAACATTAAAAGAACATTTCAATAAAGAAAGTTAGAAAATAATTTGGAATTGTTTTACAAAAGTGAAAAATAAAAATGACACTAAATCATTCGTGTTTTGTGAACAATAAATATGCAACTCTTTTTTCAAACATAATTCTTTACTTTCAAACTATAAAAAAACAATAGAATATGAAAAATGTTTTTCATCATTTCAGTATTCACTCCAATCCTAACTATAATAAAGCTAAATCTTTTTGTTGAAAAACTCCCGCCCAAATGATACAGTGACGTTTGGTTACAACATGTATTACACTGTTTTGGTCAGAGATACTGCCTCTTCACTATACAACCTCGAGCCACTCAATGGATTACACTGTGTATACCAATTTCCAATGCACGGTCTTGGACTGTCCAAGATTTTTGAAATAGTTTTTTGTTGTACAATTTATCATCTATAAATACTAGATGTTTCATTGAGAAACCCCCACCCCACATTTACACTGAAGCACAAGATTTAGTTTAAGTAGCTCTTCTCACGAAACTTCCTCCATCAGAGAACTGGGAGAGACAAATCCTGCACACAAAAAAATAAAATGTTAGAACCCTTTTTTTAAACCACACTGTCTACATACAAGTTGATAGTACTAATTCACCCGGATGTCGGTTGTATGTACTAAATGTATATATATGTAGAAGAATATAGAAGAACAAGAAGCAAGGACACAAGAAAATAGCTCAAATCCCTCTTTTATTAATATTGTTCTTGTTGTTTTAAGAGAGAAGGGAGAGGGAGTCGAGAGAGAGAGAGCTCATAGCTATCAATGGGAAAAAGATCCCCCCACTTAGAGGGCTAGAAGCCCTTTTTATAGAGCCAACGAGGTGGCGGGTTTGACCCGTCACCTTTGACCCCCGACCCGTAGGCCAAGACACTAACCGCTCGACCCGACCCGACTATACACAGACCCGGGGTATATAACTTATCATAAAGCCCCCACAGCCCGTGCTCTGACGACGAGTTAGCGAGGAAGGGTTCGGGCTGGAAAAACGGGTTACACGGTCCGTGACATATGCCGGTTGCCTCGTTAAAAAACCTTAGGCTAATCAAAAAACCCAGTGGGAAAAACTTTAGCCAAGGGAAAAAGAGTACAACGCTAAACACAGTCTAATGGACCGAAAGGGAGCGCCCGACCCAGTGGTCGGACTTCAACGCAACTTGCGAAAGGTCGAACCCAATCGGTTCAAATACCGAATTGCCGGGCACGACTGGGATCCAGAGATCTATCTAACCAACTACGGGTTTGGATCTGCTCACGATCGAAAGATTGAACTTACTCGGGCGAAAACGCTACTCGGGCGAAAATAAAAAAGCGATCGGGCGAAAAGAACATGTTTCGACCGTTTTGACCGATGAACGCGCTACTCGGGCTGGCGCAGC